CTCAAAAACTATTAAGTTCTTAAAAGAACCTATTTTTTTCTTAGAAACTTTCTTTACGAATATTTCCGTTAAAATGAGGCTTAACACCATAGTATTTTACTGAAATCACATCTCGGGTTCTTTGATAACCTTTTGTTAAAAACCAACACTGTGTTAGTTTTGTTTAGTTAAAACTGTACAGTTTCTGAAATCTACATTTTACTGCATCTTAGAGTCAGATTTCAAAAATCTGTTCTTCGCGACAATTCATTGTCTCGTCGAGATCTAAAATTATCGCTTTTGGAGAAAACTGAAATTCAGCCTCTAAAGGCCTCTTTTGGCTGAAAACAGTGGCTGCTGTTTTTTTTTTGTTTACCTAGAATGCTGTAGCATTTAAAAAATGCTGTAGAAATACTGTAGCATTCTTTTTAAAATGCTGCAAAAATATTGTTGCATTCTTTTGAAAATGTTGTAGAAATGCTATAGCTTTCTTTTTACAATGCTGTAGGAATGCTGTAGCAATTCTTTTTTTCCCCCGAGACTGTGTTGGATAGCCTGAACCGTTTTTGCAAAATGGCTTTAAACTTGTTTTTGGAGTTAAAATTGAGTTTTGTCACAGTCATAGAAAAACGTTCAAAACATCGAGAACTATAAATCAAGCTTTGAAACACTGAAAACTCCCGTTCTAGGGTCCTCATTTTCATGTTCAAAGTAACCGGGAAAATTTTACCTCTAACCCCAAAATAGGCAAACTCAAACCAATAATAAACATACCACATAATGCTAATCAAACTAACCTCAAAACTCACAAAACTAACTTAAAACTCACACACCCTTATTACAAACTCATTTCCTTGAGAATCACAAATTACATCAATGGATTCTCAAACTTAAACTTTATTAGAAAAGAAAATAGAAGAGAAAGGTTTTAGAGTTTATACCTTTGAGGAAAGAAAATCCTTGGTTAAACTCCTCCTAGAACACTTTGATCCTCTTTCTTCTTCCTCTAAGGTTTGTTAATAGAAGAGTATAAGAAAATTTAAGAAGAATATTTCTAAATCTCAAACTTTGCTAGACCATAAGAAAGAGAGGGTTAGAGTTTATACCCTTGGAGAAATGCTTGACTAGACTCCTCCTAGAACACTTTGATCTTCTTCTTCTTCTTCTATTGTTTGCTAGTGGCTTAAGGTTAGGAGAGTGAGAGAAAATTTTGAGAGAAAATGGGTGGAGTATGGCCGGTTTTGGTGTGTGGAAAAAGGAGAATAAATGTGCAAAAATGGCTAACCTAATGCTTGCATTAATGGTCTAACATTTATAGACTTTGCTTGATCTCTTCTTAGTTCTTAATTAAGCCTATCAAGCTAGCTTAATTAACTAAGTTTTTAGGTTAATTCCCCTTGCTTGGCCGGTTGGGTGCTTCAAGAGAGAAGTGAAGTAAGCCTTCTTGTCAAATAGTTGATTTGATTCATCTCATCATGAAACCCTCTAGCACACTCAACTAACCAAAGTTTGGCTATAATTTCCCTAAGCATGGCCGGCCAAGTGAAGAAAGAGAGGGAAGAAAACTAATCATGAGTCCTCTTCATTTCCCTCATCACACCTCATCCAATTCCACACATTAACCTACCCCTTGTACTTTTGTCCATTCTCTTAAGTTTCATTTGAAACTGTTAAAAATTATACTGACTGTAAGGAAATACTTAGCCGACAAAAAATCCTAGTTTCTGACGGTTCCCTTTCTACTCCTTATTTATAGTTCAATATTAATCCCCGACTACTTCGATATCGCATTAAATTCTTACTCGCGTAATATTTTGAACTGTTTCAAGTCTTGAATTTATTCTAGACTAAACAAATTCTAAACTTAAATTTCTACATTATATCATGAGAATGACATTGTTTCTAACGGTGTCAACTCCCAAGCTCACATTGTACCATTCTACTATAGGTATTTATCTTGTGACTTTAACCTAGCTGTCTAGCAATTAAGGATTTTTTTTCTTCTTTTAAAATGTCAGAGCATTTTTTTATACGTTGCTAACATCGAGCCGTGCTTAGAGATTCTTGAAATTAAGATTCTCTAACTACATATGTACTGAAAATTCTTCCGCCTTAAAGTACTGCGAGAATTTATCGATCGCATTTACTTGATCATAAAACATGAACTTAGCATGAAATCTGCTACAGAATTTAAGACTACAAATGTTAATTTCATAAATCCTTCGGTCACAAAATATAGCATAATATTTTCTAGGAAAATCCTTGACTTAAATACATAAATTGTATTATTTAAAGTCTGAGATTTTCTCAGTCATTACACCTTTCTTCTCAGTGTTGGCTCCGTAAAGTCTCATTCGGGCACATCTCTCTTCATCTACTGCCACTCAAGTCATATCATGTATCTTCTTGTTTATCTTGATGATATCGTACTCACAGGTGACGACTCTACCATTCTTTCAATCTTTATTAGATCCTTAGCTGCACAGTTCTCGCTCAAAGATTTAGGCAATCTATCATTCTTTCTTGGGGCTGAGGTGCTTTCTCATCCCCGTGGACTCTTTCTCTCCTAGCGTCAATACAGATCTTCTTAATCGCACCAACATGGGACATGCCAAGCATTAATCACCAGTTGCCACCAGCCCTCCTCTCTCCCTTTCGGCAGGCACTAGCCTTATAGACCCCACAGAGTATCGAGTCACTATCGGGAGCCTTTAGTACTTGGCACTCACTCGTCCAGACATTGCCTTCACCGTCAACAAAGATGACTTCACTTCCACCTGTGCCTACATCGTCTACCTCGATCGTAATCCAATATCGTGGAGTTCCAAAAGTAACGTACTGTTGCTTGTTCCTCCAGTACTGAGGCTGAATACTGATATGCTGCTTCCACTGCCGCTGAGCTTACATGGATTCGATCACTTATAACTGAACTCAGTATCCACTATCTTCTTCGCCATTCATCTATTGTGACAATATCGGAGCTACTACCTCTGCTCTAATCCGATGTTCCATCCCCGCATAAAGCACATTGCCCTTGACTTTCACTTCGTACGTGACAAACTTCAACAAGGTGAACTTTGTGTGGCTAATGTCTCATCTGAAGATCAACTTGCCGATGATCTCACCAAGTCACTACCTCGCAGTCGCTTCACATTGTTACGGTCAAAGATCGGTGTTTCTACCCGACCCACCGTCTTGCGGGGGCATATCAAGACATGATATTTTCCATATCACTTATTACTCTTTCCTTATTTACATTTATTTGTAATCAATGTGTTATGTTCTCATAACTGTACACAATTGACTCTTGTTCATAAGCTGTATTCTATACTTTGATGATGAAAACAAACTGACAATTCATCTCAATTACCATTCTCTATACGTCATGCGTATTAATAGGAAAACCAAGTTTCTTTAACTTTAATCTTTCGTTCCTCATAAATTACCAAGATCTAAGGTCACGTTTGGTTGGAGGTAATAGAATGGAAAGGAAAGATAATTCCTTTACTAAAACTCAAATCTCTTATTTGGTTAACAAAATCACTTAAGAAAGGCATTTCCATTGGAAAGGCCATTCACCTATTTTGGTGGAAAAGCCATTCATCCACTGGGGGAGTGGAATTGCTATTCTGAAGTTGGAGGAATTATTTTTTCCCTAACTGCCCTTTTTGTCTTCTAAACACTCCACGAAAATCAAAATTCATCTGAATCTCTCTCAGATCCAGCCAAAAGCTGACCTTGAAACTCTATCTCTGACGCTGCCGTCAAGCGCCACCAGCCATTGTCGGAGCTGGCGTCCACCTCCTAATCCACCTCAAGTGCGGCCACAGAACACTGGAGCTTGCTTCCTTTTAGAGCTCTCAATAGTTGCCTTTTAGTCATGGATTTTCCTATCTTTTGTATGGAGTATAGACAAATATGTGGACACCCTTTTTTATTCCTAACCAAAACGTGAACATTGGTTGAATAGACTGATGGACAACGGTTATCTTTCTGAATAAGATAGAACATATTTGAATTGTGTAAAATAAATGGTGTTTGATTTCTAACTTTCAATATTATCTCCGGCCTAAATACCGGTTCTTAATTCTGATTCTCTGTCCACTTTAGCTGTCACATTTTGAGTCTCACCAATGAGTTTTTTACAAATCATTAATAGATGTTTAGCATGTTTTTACAGCGTGGTTTCATCTTCTCCCAAATTGCAACCATTCTGTATCTCAATATTTACTTTCATAAAATCGCAACCACTCTCACGCTCATCTCTTTGTTTGCATAAAAATGTAAGGATGGTTGAAGAAGCCTTACAAGAATTTATCAAATTGGTTGTTTAAATTCGAAATTTTCGAAACCCTCTATTGGTACGATTTGTGACAGGATACAAAATGGGAGATTTCAAACAATTTTTCCTTGTACTCGGGTTGGTTCCTTTGAATACATTGCCATTGTAGAAATGGCAGAGATTTGGCTAAGAACTAACATTTTGCATATTCCACTCATTTTGGAGATTGAATCATTCACATCTGCAATTTGTTTTTGAACTAGGATAAGAGAGATTTTGGAGATTGAATCATTTACCTTCGCAATATGTTTTTGAAAAGGAAAGAGAAAAATTGTAGTCTTCGCGGGGAAGAGAAGGAAGAAAGAAAATGGGAAGAGAGAGAAGAAAGAAAATAGAACAAATGTGATGGACAAAGCATCTGGCTTCGCCGCTTCGGTATTTTCAATTTTCTCTTATGAGTGCATTCTTACTTGCGAGAAATGTTAACATCACTATTTTTGCTATTATTTTTATTATTTACTACATTCACTATTTGATACATAGACTTTACAAACATAATATATTATTATTATTATATAATAGAAAATAAGATAGTAAAGTTCATGTGCTAAACAGTAAATGCAGAAAGAGATAGAAAGAGTGATGTTAATATTTCTCCTTAATGCATTAATGACCAACACAAGCACTGAAACAACAAAGTCAGAAAGCACTACAAGCTAAAATCCTTGTTGGATCGAGGGAAAAAAAAGAATTTTTTTGACAGTTTTAAGAAACCATAGATCGTCCAAAATGGTTGCTTTAACAGGCCATTAACATTCGACAATCATGAACCAATGGCTTAGGAGTCTTACAGAAAAGCAATATAATGCCACTTTGATATGTGACAAATGGTGGAGTATTCAAGAAAGAAGGATAACAAATGGAGAAACAAGCAAACAATCAAACAAATGGTGGAACTAATTTCTACATTAGTTTCATAAGAATGTTGCTATCCTAATACAGATTCCCCAGGATAACTCATCCTTTATTCGAAGCTGACGAACCACCGATCTCTCTTCCTTTTTTCCCCCATAGAAAACTCCTATTTTCCATGCAACCCAATGTCTGTATTCATATAATCCGGGGGAGAATTACAATGTAGACATGAAATCTGTTTTGATGGAATCTACAAAATACCAAATGCAAAAAAAGTGTCCATGCATCTCATACACAATTGGAAACAAAAGCCGGTGTACAAAGTTTACTCAGGTTGACACTTACTCTGCTTGCAGCCGTTCTCACCAACAACAACAGGGGAAACGTCGATAGCAATACGTACAAACCTGGCACAGCAAACACAGCTGCAAGATCTCAGATAAAGTAAATAAGAGTGTGGACATCTACAATTATTTCTATTAACAACCTAGGCAGCAAATAACAAACAAATACAAGGGACCGAGGGAAAAAAAAAAGAAAAGAAAAGGAAGCAACCAATGTATTATGCAAATTTACTTGCAGTAATTAAAAGGATCTTTCATTCTTGTAAGTCAAAATCTATTTCGGAAATCGTTACTCAAGCTTCCTAGGCCACTTGATAGCTGTGACAATGTTACAAATGGAATTCTAGGGCCTCAAAGCCTAAAGAAAACCAACAGAACAAATGAAAGGCAGTTTGCTGTTGGACAAGTTTTGATATTTCAAAAGCACTTGAAAACAGTTAAAGGCAGCACAAGTGGAACCTTTGAACTCGGAGAATTGATTTTTCTTTAAGTTGCACCTCCCCCGCCACCGCAAAAGAAGTCTCTTGAACTGAACAAAACTTCTTATTCCCCACGGTTATTTGGCACTTAGAAAGAAATGAAACCGCTTTGAATGGCTATATGTCCTTTATAGGAAAATAGCCGTTCTCACATCAAAACAAGAGATGTGACAATTTAAAGTCAGACTGGCACAGACAAACCTACGTTTTCCACTCCAAATTGCTAAATGCATTACCAGAAATTACTAACTTAACCAAAAAGCAAAAAAATTAATACAGATTGCCAAAAATTGACAACATAAATGCTTTAGCTTGCGCACTTCAAATTCACCTTGAATCTCCCACCACACAAAGTCACAAACACTTGCTAAGCACAAATTCACTCAGTTCAACCTAAACCCAATAACCAAAAAAGCAACACAATTTAAACACATTGCCAAAAACTAGTGTCAACTTAAACAGCCTAATTTTCCCTCACTTGCCCACTTCATATTCACCTTGAAACTCTCACACAAACACACAATTCAATCAGTTCAAACTCAAACCATTAACCAAAAAGCAACAAAATTTAAAACATTGGCAAAAAGATTATTGACAACTTAAAAGAACTTATCCTCATTTGGCCACTTCATATTCACATTTAACCAAAAAAGTAACAAACTTTAAACCCAAAATTCTCAACTCAATTACCTCCATTTCCAAGACTCATCACACCACCACATTCCTCGGCCGGACCTTGGCCTTCTCCGCGTCGAGAATCGAATTGACGAGCTTCACCGCATTATCCAACTTCCCCTCGGCATTCACCACAACATAGTCAAAATTCCTCACGTGCTTCATCTCCTCCCTCGCCGTCGCCACCCTCACCAGCAGCGCCTCCCTGCTCTCCGTCTTCCTCCCAATCAGCCTCTCCACCAGCTTCACCTCGCTCTCCGCCGCCACGAAGATGAACACCGCCGACTTCCCGAAAATCCGCCTCAGCGTCTGCGCCCCCTGGATGTCCACCCTCAAAACAACGTCGCAGCCACTCGCCATGTAATCCCTAATCTGCTGCTTCGGAATCCCCTTGTAATCGCCGTACACGAGCGCGTACTCCAGAAGCTCCTCCCTCTCCACCATCCCCAAAAACTCTTCCTTGCTCACGAAGAAATAGTCCTTCCCGTGGACCTCGCCCGACCGCATCGCCCGGCTCGTCGCTGTCACCACGAAATGCAAGTCCTCGCGCATTTCCCTCAGTTTCTTGATCAGCGCGTCCTTGCCGACGCCGCTCGGCCCGCTTACGACGATGATCAAAGGGCTAGGGTTCGGCCACAGCGGCTCGGAGCCGAAAGCCGAGCCGAGGGAGGACTCCAGGGCTCGCAGGAGCTCCGACTTCTCGGCTCGGTCGACGGCCGGGATCGGCGGCGACCGCCGGGAATCGGACATTTGGGAGAACGGTCGTAGGGATTGGATCTTGGCGTGGATTTGGATTGGGGATTTAGGGTTTAGTAAGGGTTTTGGGCGGTGGCGAATTAGGGTTTCGAGAGTGGTGGTGTTGCAGAGAAATCTGCGGAGCATTATTTTTTTGATGGGGGTGAAGGTGCACCGTACGAGAGATGGAAGACGGGGCAGGGGATCGGAGTCCCAATTGGTTGTTAGTTTGGATTTTTTTTTTCTTTTTTAACTTTTGAAAGTCGGCAATAATGGGGAAGTGGATTTTGGTAGTTGGATTCTGTTTTTAACTTCGTTGTCGGCGAAAACGGAAGTGCGGCTTTTTTGGGTTCGCGTTTCGAGGTGTTTCCAAACGGGGTCTTGTTTGTTGGTCGGTTCCTGTTCCCATTTTTGGCAAAAACTATAGAAGGTTTGTTAAGATTTCTTTGTGGGAAAAATGCATCCCTTATTCGCAGCTTTCATTTTAGTAAATGCCTACATTAATTTTTTTTAATACATTATTTTAGTGAAAAAATATAAAAATATACATTTATTTTAATAAAAACATAATTATTTCAGTAAGAATTTAAGTGTAAAATTTTAAAATTTTTAAAAGTAATATTTTTTAAAAAAAAATTTAAATGAGCTGTATTTAAATTTGGTATTGCTTCTTCGTGATTCATTAATGGAGCAAGTATTTTCACTATTAGATTAATTTTTTATTTTAACGCTCAGAATTTTATCAATCTTTATTAAAAATTTATAGCGTGCTACACAGAATTATTCTTAATTAAAAAATTAATCCAACCTTAAAACACTCATAATTTTGAGTTGCACCGTTAAAGAAGCTTTCTTTCTGGTCTTTTCAAAGGTTATTTTGGATACTTTTGTCAGCTAGGTTCACTTTGAACGGGGTTTGGATTTTTCTTTATTTTCGTTCGCGAGACTTTTTTTTTATGGTATCTTTTGTGGTTTCTTATCCTCTAGTTTATAGTGATAGTAAAATAAAAAAGTATTCAACTAAGATAAAGTTTAATATGATTTTTAACAGAATCTTATCAGTAGAGCATTGGAAAATGCCGAATTGTGGATTATATCGGTTCGCTAATTTGAGTTTTTAATTCGAATTGAGATATAATGTTGTGTGCGAGTTTTTTACTGTAGTAAAAAAGTTAAATGTGACTATTTTTGAGAGCTTTTTACTGTAGTAAAACTTGAATTCTAAACTCAAATTAGTGAAAAAAACGAAAAATAATAATAACACTAAAGAGAACTCGTCAATATTAGGGAGTGACATCATATAATTTTAACAAGTATGTTGGAAACTACTGTGTGCATTTTTATTGTTTTATATTAATTTGGAGGTGAGAGATTTGAACCTTACACCTTGTCGTAAAATACATTATCATATTACTATTGATTGATTTATTCATGTTATTGATTGGCTAGTAATACAGCCAGCGTTATTAATCACTGAGACACAATCAGCAGCTAGATGCTATAACCTAATTTCAAGTTCGAAAGACACAATATTGCAGTAAAAATGAGGCTAAATTCTCGAAAAATGTTAAAGAATTTGATCACTGAGACACAATCAGCAGCTAGATGCTATAACCTAATTTCAAGTTCGAAAGACACAATATTGCAGTTAAAATGAGGCTAAATTCTCGAAAAATGTTAAAGAATTTGATCGTGCCGGACCGTCAATTACAAACTAATTAGGGCCCACCAATGGGGATGGGTTCCATTAGTGAGCCCTACTAGTTTGTATATGATGGAGTCCGGCACCGCGGGTCCTAATAGTGCTACTCTAATTTTTGTGGGAGAAGCCAAATTTTTTATGAGTCTGTTTAGTTTGTTGATTTAAATTTTAATTCGAATTAAAATGTGATTTTATGTGAGAGTTTTTTATTGTAAAAAAATGTTAGATGTGATTGTTTCTGAGAGTTTTTTACTGTAAAAAAAATTAGATGTTACTGTTTTTGATAATTTTTTACTGTAACAAAACTCAAATAGGTGAAATAAACGAGGTTTACATATACAATTTCAACCCAACGATATCATCAAAATCTAAACGATCTGAAATATTTGAACTTCTACCGACATATTCGCCTGTGAATCTGGTGAAATAAGAATAAAAAAGCTCAGCAACGCAACATCTCCACCAATCGGAGCTCGCAATTTTTCTTATGTTTTTTGGTTTTCATTTTGAACATTGAGAACATGCATATGTGGTTTCAAAATTTCCTGTCACGTCCAGGTTATAGAAGTACTAGGGATTTAAAAGTAAAATAACTGTGTAGTTAGGCTAACTCGAGCCCAAGTCTA